AAAAAAAATCAGGAATAAATGAGCATGTTTTATATTTGTTATCATTACATAAGGAATAGACTTATCTAAATTGACTCTAATAATGCTCTTGCTATTAAGATTGCCTTTGGGCTCATCTCAAATTCATATATTTATTTTTTTTCTTATTGACATAAACATGTGTACTTCCTTTTCCAGAAAAAATCACATGATTTTTAGTAGATTTGTTTTCTTATCAAGTGTTTAAAGAGAATTCAAAAATTTGAATGTTGCATTGATTAGTAATATTCTGATCAGAATTTGAGAAACTGAATATTTGGATGGAAAAGAGGCAGTAAAATAGACAGAATCTTACAATTGAAAAATCCTTCTTAGGGGATTTTTATTTCTATACTACTTTGTATTTGCCTGCAAAATATAACTGACTGTTGAACATGTCTATTTTGGTGCAGTTATAATTTTTTTCTTTTAATTTTGGGGAAGTTCAGATTTTATGTATCACTGAAATTAGATTCAAGAGACGTTCATTTAAAATCTTTCAATTCCTAATAGTATGGGAATACCAACATAGACACAGTACAGACTTAAGATCACAGTCTATAGGAGAGAAGTGATCAATATTATGATGAAGTAATGGGTCAGTAGAAACAGATAAAATGGATGGTGTAACTTAGTAGCTTAATTGGTAATTATGAAGCAGGGAACACTTGCAAAAAGTGATTGTATTTAAGTAAACTTTTGATCAATTTATTGATGTGTATATTGGCATAAAATATGAACTAGGAACTTCAGCATTCTATATAGTACATGGAGGGCCTCCAGCATTTAGTTGCAGCCTTGATACCTGTTATGGCTTATGTCTGGATGTTCTGTCAAAGCCTCCTGTGTTCATAGGTAAGGGTTTTTAGAGGTAGATGGATCTAGAGTATGTGATGCTCATATCAAGTGTGGGAGGCTGGTATCAACGGTATATTTTTACTAATTAGTGCACTGATTAGTTTGGCATAGTTCTGTGAGTGGATAATGGGAACTCCACCCCCGGGTATCAGCAGCACCTGCGCCAATAGTGAGTAGTCTCAATAGAATATAGTGGACAGAAAGAGCTCTGCGGTCACTTCATGCTTGTGCTGCTTTTGCTGCCCTCTGCCTGCCATGAACTCTTTCTCCTCTCTGATACCCCTCTGCCAGGCCACGCTGCCTTGGAGCTAGCCAACTATGAGCTGAAACCTGTGAAAACTGTGAGCTGAAATAAACCTTTTCTCTTTTCACTTTCAGTGCCAGGTATTTTGTCTCAGGAATGAGAAAAGTGCCTAAAACAGTACTTACGAGTTTGGGATTCAGCAGTCTAGGCCTTTGCACATGATGTGCTCTGTGCAGCTGTGTACTCTAAGCATTACTACAGAAATCAATTGAAAGCACACCTCATTTTTCCACCCATAGAGGTCCTACTAAGAAACATTTTTTTTTTTTTTCCCTTGCAGGAGCCCTGTCCTGGTTTTCCAGTGTAACCATCGTCACGTGATTTGCTTAGACTGCTTCCACTTGTACTGTGTGACCAGACTCAATGATCGGCAGTTTGTTCATGACCCTGAGCTTGGCTACTCCTTGCCTTGTGTGGGTAAGTCTTGCTTTTTATTTATTTTTTTTTCCATTTTTAGTGCTAATTAAGAACAGAGGAAGAGTCACTGAAGTAAAACTATCTTAGATATACCTAATTCATAGGATTTGGAAATATAAATTTTGTCACTGTTAAGTAAGAAACATTCATGGTTGTGCCTCAAAAGGTATAAACTATCACAGAGTAAGTACTGTGTTGAACTAGAAAATGTATAACTTATATTAAATCCTGAAAATAAATTTGGAAATATAACTCAATTAAGGTACAAAATATGCCGTAGGTAGACTGATCTTACACGTTCTGTGTTTGTTACCTGGATTTCAGGCAGTTGCATCCAAGTTTTAAATTGTGTACCCCAGCACTACAAATGTAGAGCACATGCTGAGTATGTATGAAAGAACATATTTGAAAAAGAAATTAAAGATTAATGAGTTCAATCTGAACTGTTTAAGATTTAAGATTTTTTTTGTTATTTAACTTGAAAAAACTTTTTACTTTTACTATAATTTTATTACAAGTATTATTTTTAATTGATGTGAAACTAATATTATATACAGCTAGTCAGTTAACATCAATGATTCAATATTTGGTGCGATCACAGCAATGTGTCACCACCACCTCTCTCTCATCTCAGAATGTTTTCCTTATCTCAGAATAACAATCCCTACTCATGAGTCATCACTAATCTGTTTTCTTTTTCCACAAGTTGGCCTATCATTAATATTTTCTAAAAATTGAATCCTATAATGTGTAGCCTTTGTGTGCCTTCTTTCACTCAGCATAATTTTTGTGTTGAGGTTCTGCCATGTTGTGGCTTGTGTCAGAATTTTACTCCTTTTATGGCTAAATAAAATTGCATTGTAAGGCTGTCCCATAACCCTTACTTCATTCATCTCTTGATGGGAATGTGTGTTGTTTCCACCTTTTGACCAGGATAAATAATGCTTTTATGAACATTTATGCTCAAGTATCTGGGTGGACATACGTCTTCCTCTCTCTAGAAGCAGAATTCTGTATGTGCCTTCTGAAACACTGACAGCTCACCCAAATGTCACACACATTTTATGTTACCACCACCAGTGTACACACTTTCCTAACCTGCCAAATCCTTGCTAGCATTTGTTATTGTCTTTTTTTAACAAGTCGTTTTAGGAAGTATGAAGTCATATATACATGGGATTTGATTTTCATTTCTTTAGTGACTGGCAATGTTGAATATCTTCCCTTCTGTATATTTACCATTTATAATCTTCTTTACAGGAAAACCTACTTCGGTGCTTTCTTTATTATTAAGGAGGGTGGTTTGTCTTTTTATTTTGAGCTGTGAGAGTCTTGACCTATTCTGGATAGTGGACCCTTAGCAGATTTAAGATTTACAAATCTTTCTCCCATTCTACAGGTTGTTCTTTCACTTTCCTGATAATGTTTCTTGATTAAAAAAAAATAATTTTGAATTGGGATAAAACCAAATTTATTCATTTTTCTTTTATTATTATTTTGATATAAAATATAATGTTCTCTTTCCATGAACAACATCATGATAACTTATTCCATGTCTTCTTCTAATAACTTCTCCTATTAGGTCATTAATCCATTTTGAGTTAAATTTTGTATGCAATATGATAGGAGTCCCCATTTCATTATACATATACTTTAATGATTGTCATGTGATTAAATATGCTTCATTGATTTTAAAAATAATTCTTTGAAACTATGTTCTACCTTCATTCAATGGTCAAGTTTAGGTTTAATTTCCTTCAATACTCAGTTTTTGTTTGTTTTGGTTTTTTTTGTTTTGTTTTGTTTCTGACAGAACCAGGGATTGAACTCAGGCCCTTGCACTTGTCAGGGAAGCACTTATTCTACTGAGCCATCTCCCCGGCCCAATACTCAGTTTTAATTTCAATAATAGTTACCAAAAACCCCTCAAAATGATAGATCCAAATAGAACAGGGTAATTATATTATTGATTTTAAGTCATGACACTTATTTTTCAATAATGTTTACTATGTTTTTTATTGAGATTCACATAATATATGTGTCACTATATCAAGGATAACTAACTGTAAGATATTATGCTTTTATTTTTTAACAAAGCTTTCAAAATCCAAACAAGCAATCATTTGCAGACTAGCAAACTTTCCTGCTTTTTTTAATGAGGTAATTTTGTATTGGTGAATTCTTTTCTTCACTAAAGCCCATGGGATAGAAATATTTCCAAATGGTCATTTGTAAGTCTTTTCTTCATACTCAACACATTTTAATAATTAGCTTCTACTTTCAATTATTTTTAAATGTTGAGCTTTTTATTATAGTAAATTCCACACATACAAAAGTAAAAAAAAAAAACCTACAATAAACTGCCTAATCCTCATTAGCCAGGGTTTTTGTTGTTGTTGTTGTTGTTGTTGTTGTTGTTTTTGTTTTCTTTATTTTAGGGAAGGATCTACAGGGCATACAGGATCTCACTAAGTAGATCAGACTCATAGTGATCCGCCTGTTTACAGCCTCCCAAGAGCTGGGATTACAAGCACATGCCACCATGCTCAGTCTCAATTGCCCTCTCAGCAGGCCTCAGAGGCAGGGCCGGCATGGCAGACCCAGGGATCGAATCCAAGTCCCCTGAGCCTGCTTGCAGGCATTTTAATCCACTGTGCTATTTGGCCTACCCTAGCCAGGGTTTTTAACATAACAAGATTTGTAGATTTTTCTCATGAGTCTTGTCCAGTAAATGATACGGAGCCCTTCATTTTCCCAGAAGTCCTAATTCCCATCCCGGCTGAGTAGTAGCTCTTGTGTGCTCATTGTTCCTTGATTGTTACTGTTTCTAGCTCAGCTGAAAAAACTAGGAGACACATTTTTACAATACAAACTATGATTTTAATTATACTGTATGTATCTTTTAGTTCAGAGTAAGTTTGTGGAATTTTAGTTTAAAATAGCATTATTATTGCTTTCTCCCTTGGCAAAGAAAATCTCCTTACTGAGTGATATCAGCACAGTTATCATATACATTTTTCTTGGCCTCACTTTTTCACTCTAAGGTATACATTATATTCTAGAGATCCCTTCTAAGTATTATGTAAATATTTTCTCCACTTACAAGATATACATCATTAAATTCCATTATATAAATATATTTTCCTGGGTTTTCTGACATTTAGTTTTCATTTTTTATTACAAATATTTTCTCAACTAACAGTTATGTGCACACATTTTTTTCATCATGGTATTAAGATAGATTCCCCATAGCAGGTGTTACTGTATAGAAAGGAAAATGTGTACTTATTTTACTGTTTCACATTCCCTCCCAAGAGCTGTGACTCTTCATTCCCACCGACAAGGCTGAGAACAGCAGCTGCACCACTGCCTTACCAATGGAGGCCTGAAAAGCTTTGTTGTTGTTTCCTAGACAAATGAGATATGGAATTTCCATGTTTGCTATATATTGCTTTAAAGAAAATGAATTACATTTTTATATGTTTAAGATCTCTTTGCTTTTTTCTTTATTGTTTTAAAAGTATCACCTCTTCAAGGGACAGGTTAGTGCATATATTCTTTGCAAAAGCATCATCTCTATAGCACAGCACTGACAGCCACTTTTAGTCACAGCAAAGGTTAGCAAATTTGGATCACTTTACTTTTTTATTACAAGGAACATGTGTAAATTGGCTCTAGTTCTGCTGGCTTTTTGCTATGAGATAGCTAACAACCTCTGTGAGAAAGCTTTGCCTCCTCAAGGTCTGCATCATTAAAATGCATGGTATAGATTCAACTATTGTCTAGTGCTCTAAATACCTTTTTGAAAATTAATTTATTATATTATTGTGTCAATCACATCCTTAGACTCTCAGGCACTCATAGGTCAAGCTCTTTGTTTTAATAGTGAGTAAGGCAGATAATAAATTTCAAATATGCTACTTTATATTTTTACTTCAGAATTTTAGAAATAACTTTGTGATTATTGCTACATCATTACTAGTTATTTAAACACAGTATTCAGAATTTTGTATATATTATAAGACATTCTTCCTACTTATGAGAATTTAGAAGATACATAGTTATTTTGCTATTAAAAAGATAAAAAGCAAATAACTACAAATTGAGGCAAGTTAGAAACACTTGTACCTTCCTCCATTCATGTAGTAAACCTTTTACATAGTATAATTCATCCTAATACTTGTTTTTCATATCTTCATCATATTTTAAAATATATCCCTAATAGTATTTAATCTAAGGAAATGTAGTTCCACCTAATGTTGTCACAGTATTGTTTATAATGAATTATATTAAAAAAATAATGAATTATATTAAACTTTGACAAGATTTGCTCTGGCTCCAATTATAAATGTTTATTCACTCTGTAAAAGGAAACTTTCAAATGCTAGCAACTCTGTGTGTGTGTGTGTGTGTGTGTGTGTGTGTGTGTGTAAAATTTAACTGAATTGCCCTTAGTATTTGCTCAACAGAGGCTCTTTTCATTTATTCTTTGCTTGGCACTTTGATGTGTCATAGGCGTAATGGTTCCGTGGTACTTCTCAGCCTGTGCCACAGACCAATGACATGGTCTAGCCGGAGTCACTGCTCACGGATAATGGGTACTACAGCCTCAGCTTTGTGGCTTTCTCTACTTGTTCCAACAGTATTGGTTCTATCTTCAACTAATGGTTTCTTTGAAGGATTATTCTTAAATCACTTATCTGCTGTAAACTGCTTGGTTTAAATGAGACAGTTTATCCCTGATTGTTATAGTCAAGAGCAGTCATCTACCGACAGTAATAGACAGGAGAGGACTTTGATTCCTGCTGTCCCTGATCTGTTATACATGTTTAGTGGACACATAGCCTAGGCCAGGAGAAGGGCCCAGTATCAGTTTGTATATTGTCTTCATGAAGATGGTTTTGCTATTTTTAATATTAACTGTGGAAGTCCAAATATTACCTCCTAAACCAGTGAGTCACTTGGCACGTATCCTAGTGTGTACACAGAGCCTTAGAGAC